CCTAATGCCCCAGCCCGCTCCCACCGCTCCGCGCAGTCGGGAAAACAATGAGTGCTCAGCAGTAGTTATCTTGTCCACATGCACCCTGTATGACCTCCCTGGATCCAACCACAGGCCAAGGTATTTAATACTATCCACCGACGTAATTCTGTCTTCTCCAAAAGCTACTGTAAATCCAGGTACCAGATCCCCCTTTGTCATCATGGCTCGCGATTTAGTGGCTGAAAAGGAAAGGCCCCTGTTCATTGCCCATTCCAGTACCGGAATCAGGGCCTGTTCCGTACGCTGTATTAATGCCACTCTCGTCTGGCCAGCAATATTGATGGCGATGTCATCAGCATACGCCTGTATGGTCACATACTCTGGGAAGTCTACCCTAAGGAGAGCCTCCATGGTCACGTTCTACAGTATAGGTCCCATGATCGAACCTTGAGGACAACCCTTTGTGACCGTGACCGTTTCGTGACTCCTGCAATCGTCATGGTGGCCGTTCGGCCCGAAAGATAATTCCCTATCCATCTTCGTAGATGCCTTGTTACACCTAGATCCTGCAGATCCGTTTGGAGGGCAGGCCAGGCTAAATTGTCGAATGCCCCTGTTATGTTTAGAAATACCGTAATCATATACTTTTCAGGTCTCAGGGCACTCCACGTTAGTAAGCTGTCCACCGCATCCATTGTTGATTTTCCTTTTGTAAAACCATACTGCTTTCCTATGAGGTTCGGGCCTATCTGTTCCTGTAGCCGAATGTTCATGGCTTTTTTTACGATCTTCCCCAAAACTGGTAACAAACTCACCGGCCTATATGATTTTGGTTGGTCAACATCTCTGTCCTCCCCCTTTAGTATATGTACAACCGCCGCCGATTTCCATATCGTAGGGAAAACTGCACCTCGGATACAGGCATTGGTTAGGCCCAGCACCCTGGTTGAGAGGCGTGGCCATAGGACACGCACCATTCTGCTTGTAATACCATCTTTACCCGGGGCCCTGTTTGGGGCAATGGTCCACGCTAGATCTTTGATTGTATTTTCATCGATTGGATGACACCGTGTTACCCACCGCATTCTGTTGCTGGTGATGTGGATTGTTCGGGATTAATGTGTTGAGTAGTAGGTCCACTGATTCGTCCAGTGACCTGCACCGGGTTCCATCCGTTTTCATCATTAGACCAATGCTGGTCTGTTTCTTGCTGCCGTTCTTCAGCCACCTGTACAGTCTACCCCATGGCTGTATACCCTCCGAGGTGCAAAAAGCTCTCCATGATTCCAGTTTGCATTTCCTCAGCTGGTTAGTGTACTCGTTTCGTCTAGCGTTGTATATTTGGCGGTCCCCATCCGTTGACATGCGTCTGGCCGCCGCCCTTACCGCTCTCCGGGCAGCCTGTAGTTCATTGGTCCACCACGGAGGGGTTACCTTCAGACGAATTCTCCTTCTTGGCGCGTGATCCATTGCCGCTGCCGTGACATCCTCCACAAGATCCAGGGCCTTTCTATCCGGATCCATTTGCACCGCTTCTCGTTGGCTATCCCGGTTGTCAAAATCCTGCCGGAACCTTTGGTAGTTTTGCCTTAAGAGATTATATCTCGTCTCTCGGTGCATAAATTGTCGTCGTTGCAGTTCAATGGTGAATTGTATTATCTGATGGTCAATGGATGTTTACCCGGGGATGACCTCCCATTCCATTAGTTTTTGAGCCAGTACCCTGTCCACCAGCGTCACATCAATGTTGGTTCTTCCCCTTGGTCCATGGAAGTTAGTGTACGGACTCGGCAAGTTCGCTATTACCAGCTCATTGGCGTCGACACACGCCACCAGTGTGTCACCCCTCGCATCGTTTATCCAGCTGTACCAACGCCTGGAAAACGCATTGGCGTCCAGGGACACCAGGACCTTGTCCGTTGCCGAACGTATTAGTTCATCTAGCACTACCACATGGACCGCTGTTGGCACCCTGTACTTGAAGTAACCACTGATAAGGGTTACCATGCCATCCGTTCCACAATCCAAATCAAGGGATACAAAATTCTCCTTCGTTCCAGCCTCGCGTGGGACAACCACCAGGTTCGGGTTAAAGACGATTATAGCCGCTCCGTAGTCCAAATATTCCGCTCTCCCACGGCGCCTGGTGGCCTTCGAAAGGAAGCTCCTAAAAGGGACGACCTCAACCCCGTCAGTTTCCCCCGGTTGGTGTAAGGCTCTTGGACCAAGGCAATATCCACGGCCCTCTGCTGGCAGTAATCCAGAAGTTGGTCGCTGACCCCTGATGCCCTTCCCATATTTAACTGCACGATCTTTAGTGGAGGATGGACGCTCATTGCGTTATCCCATAGTCAGTCCTCTTGACCTGGCCCACCAAATAAGCATGTCCTGTCCATGGCATTGTGCTTCCCCTTGCAGTTCGAGCAGACTGGATCCCCTTCCGCGGATGGACAGGCCGCCGCTTTATGCCCTTTTCTACTGCAATGCGCACACACACAATCTTTGTCCAGACACTTGGCTGCCGGATGCCCATATCTAAGGCATAAATGGCACTGCGTAACTTCCTCATAACTACTAACACGGCACCTCATAAACCCAAGGTAGATTGTCGTATTCTCAAACTTTCTGTAGTAATCTGGGCTCACCTCCACTATCCAATTCGTAGTGCTCCTGTCCCTAGGTCCGCTTTTGAATACTGGCTTGATGATTTCCTCTTCAATCGTTACCTCAATTCCTAACTCCGGGTTCTGGGCCAGGATGTCAATTTGTGTCGTCTCACCAAACTTAATATCCGAACTGACCCCCCTGGTTATTATCCTTGGCTATCGTAAGCTGTCCTCTTTCAATAAGGATGATACCTTCGAAATATGCTTAAGTACGTCCAGGGTCTCCCTGTCCGACGGCTTCAAGATTGTCTTGCCCGTTCTGGTGGTTTCTGTGATTTCTTTGTTGCCGCTACCTCCAGGGTGTACCGTATCCATTTAATTGTTTCCCTTGCCACTGGCGCTGGGTCTGGCGATGCCCTCTGTTTTTTACTCTCTGGAGTTACCCCAGGCGACGGTTGCTGGCTCGTGCCCGGCCTTGGCGACTTATCGTCATCCATCGTTACAAGTATTCCCCTCTGGAGGGGGGGATTCGAAACCCCGCGTTTCCCCGCGGGGGTATGGGTGCTAGTGGCCCTCCGGGTCGATTTCCTTTTAAAAGCAAAAAACCAAAAAGGACGGTGGGAGGGGGCCGTTCCCTATTATTGGAAATTGTTGTCCTACCCTAGGGTAGTTGTTCCGCGTTGCCCCTGGGGCTCTAGGTCTCAATCCGACTGAGTTATACTAAACTCAAAATCGGTGGGGGGTGGGGGCTTTGTTCCCTATTGCGGGAAAAACCACTGTTCACCCAGGAAATGGGTTCCCCCTTGGTTCGGGGTCTGTACCCCTTATATCTTAGAAGTTATAGCCACTCAAAGAAAATAGGAAGGGGTGGTTTACTACTGTGGTACAAGTGGGGCTGCCCCGCACTGTATCAACATGCGTTCGATCTGGACTCCGTCGCAGGAAGGTTAGGTACACAAGTTTAGGTATCGAAAAGAATGGAACACACAATTTCGTTGATTGACGCGGTTGCGTCGAAAGTCGTTTATTGTTAGGCAACAAAATATAATTATGTGGTCGTACGCAGTACGACGATAGAGGGTACGATTTGGGGTCGAGCGCATGGTCGTTCAGGTCGACGGTATCGGGTGTGTGCTCAATGCGCGCGCGGTCGAGCGAGCGTCGGTACGTAGGCGAGTCGGGCATGAGTTCGGTGGCCGTGGCGAGCGGTCGTGTACGGGGACCCTATGGGTCGTGTAAGTGTAACACGGCTCGTCGGTTGTCGAAACCTGGCGTCGGGTCGGGAGCGAAATACTCGGTACGTGTGGCTCGGTCGAGGGCGGTGAGCAAAGAGGATGATGCCGGCCGGTCGGACGGCCGCGTCGTGAGCGTCGGGGACGATAGAGATGGCGTCGCCAATCGGAGACGCGAGATCGATTAGCGTGGGAACATAAATATAAAAATCACAGAAGTTGTATAAATAAAACGAATATAAAATAAATCACAAATGACAATATAAAATGGTTGGTACCGCGGAGCGGGTGGTAACTCGGTCGGTGAGAGCAAAGTGGTGATAAGCGCCGAAGTCACCACACTACCTATACCAGCCACTAGGTGGGGATCACGTATGACAAAAATAACGTTATGTAAGAGCCGAACTTACGCCGTCAGGCTCTTGACACCTGGTCTCGTGGCTGACGAAATCCAAAAATTCGTTCGGCAATACCGGCGGGCGGCCGTGTATTCCTTATGGGAGCACACAAAAACGGACCCCGCGGGGGGATTTTTATCAGACCGACTCTAAAGCGGCACCGGTCTGTACACGCACTTATTAGGCACCTTTCCGCACTTTAAACTCAAAAAATTCCTGGAAACCAGGGACTTACGACAACTGTAAGGTAAAATCACTAGAGGGCGCCCCTCGGAGCGAGTTTTACCTTAGCAACGCACGTCCTTACGACTCCACAGCAATGTGGACACTAACACAGGGACAATGTATATGTATCCACCTCCGACTTAGCCGTAGGCTAGTGGCCGTTTCTAGCAAAACCACAACACCAGCGAGTCCAACTCCAGAGGCCCTTGATGTTGTTGGGCCTCAGTACCGGGGCACTAACCTTGCGGCAGTGGGGCTCCCCGGTCCCGCTGTACGGGTTTTCGGACGGAACCAGAATTACCCGAGTCCCGTCCCCACCCCCGGTCGGTGGGTTTACTCAGGCAGCGTGGGGTCGTAAGGCCCATCCCAGCAAGCTGGGCCCTGCGCGGAAGTGGAGTTCGTCCTATTGGTGGAGCTGGAGTCTCCTTTCGTCTTCCCTCGTCCTCTCCTTCTGTATGAGAACTGTTCTTGCAAACTTCTCGAGAGTATCCCACGCTCTCTTGCTTTGGATGTATGTTTCGTTGTCGTATGGCCAGGTGTGCCCGAGGCTCTCCATCTCATTCCTCAAAATCTCCCTGCTGTTGCTTGCTAGCGGACAGTCTTCCAACTGTTGCGGTTTCTTCGAAGTGTCCGCATTTACAGGATGGGTCTTCCCTGAGGTTGAAACCTGCAAGTTTTGAGTTGAAGTCCCCGTGGTCCGATATTATTTGGCTTATGTAGTGGTCGAACGGCAGTGGTGTTATAACTCTTGTCCTGACGTTTGGTATAAAACCGTAGGTCCATCTTCCCTTGGTCGATTCTGTCCAGAGCCTCTGCCACTCGCGCAGGCATTTGTCTTCTGCTTCGTGGCGGGTCATGCTATTTTCGGTGTCTATCCTCATCTCAATTTGCAGATTTATTGGCGGAACACCTGCAATGACCTGCAGGGCCCTGGTTGAAGTAGTGCTGTAAGCCCCGGTAACAGCCAGTAGGGTTTGCCTTTGGGCACTCTCTTATTTTGTTTTTAATCTTGCGCTAATTGTTGGATACCACGTATTGGCGCCATAGGTAATCCTTGGTAGGTATACGGCTTTGTAGAGTAGAATGGCTAGCGCCGATGAGGCACCCCACTTTGACTTCCTTATACCTTTTAATCTTGAAAACATGTCCGTGCTGGAGCCCAATAAATGTTCTGCGTGGTTTTCAAAAGTAAAACCGGCTTCCAGGTGTAGGCCTAGGTACTTAGTAGTTGGTACCGATCTAATGCGATGCTCGCCCATCTTCGCGATGAGGCCGGTACGAGGCCGCCCTTCAGGGGCACCATCACTGACTTCTCCATTGAGAAGGTGAGGCCGCGTTCGCCTGCCCACGTTGACGCTTTCTGTAGTGCGGTTTCCGTTCTGCGTATTACTTCATTTCGAGTGTTGCCTGCCACAAGGATGGCGATGTTATCTGCGTATACCACTATGGTGGTATCTTCAGGCATTTCGGTCTTTAGAAGCGGGTCCATGCATATGTTCCAGAGCCTGGGTCCGAACTTGCTTCCTTGCGGACAGCCTCTTGTTAGTCTAATGGTGCGGCTCTTGCTACCTATGCCGTACGTGGCTGTCTTGTCTCTAAGGTAGTCAATGGCCAGAGCTATCAATTTCTGATCGCATCCCAGGGTTCGCATGTCGGATGCCAGTACTGGCCATCTCACGTTGTCAAATGCTCCGCTAATATCTAGGAAGCAACCTAGTACATGTCTTCCGTTTTCGTTTATCCAGTTCTTTACCTCAGCGAGTGCAGTGTGTGTGCCTTTATCTGGCCTGAAACCATGCTGTTTCTGACTGAGCATCTGCCCAGTGTCTCGCTCTAATTTATTGCAGATTACTTCTTCCAAGATTTTTCCCAAGACCGGAAGTAGGCTGACCGGTCTATAGCTCTTCGGTTTTAAGGGGTCTTTGTTCTTGCCCTTCAAGAGAACCACTACGGAGGCATGTTTCCAAGTATTTGGGAATTCCTCTCTGGTCAGGCACTTGTTTACTATCCAATGTAAGCGAGCTCCAATAACTGGCCATACCGCTCTTACGATTTTTGCAGTTATCCCGTCTGCTCCGGGGGCGGGGTTCTTTTGTCTACATATCTTAGCTCGTCCAGCTCTATGGTAGCTGACTTTTGTTCACTTGGTAGAGGTTCTGGTTGTATGTCATTAACTGAGTGCGGTATTAGTTCGTCTACCATGAGCTCAATGGTGTCTTCCAAGTTACTAGTGTAAGTACCGTCTTGCCGAACTAGTACGGTTGGGACTTTGGGCTCTTGCCGTCCGCGGATTAGCCACTTAGTTAGCTTGCCCCACATCTGCTTGCCGTTGATGGGTACATCGGCAAACTTCTTCCACAGGTTAAATTTTGCCCTTCGAATATTCGCCACGTGTACGTTCCTTGCTGCTTTGAAAGCATTCCGCGCCTCGGCTGTAGCTTCCCTAAGAATACGCCTTTTCGCCCTGTTAAGATTGGCTTTTGAAGCAGTGACGTCCGCATTCCACCAGGGAGGTCGTGGTGAACTTTTCCTTGCACGCTTTAGGAGTACCTCTGTGCAGGTCTCCATGATAGCATTCGTTAGGTATTTGGCAGCATCGCTTATGTCTTCAGAGACTGGATAGTTGCCGATCTTGGTTTCAAGAACGTCAAGCAGTCTATGTGTGTCTATTTTTGCATCGTGAAATCTGTTGACTCTGTGAGGTGAAACCATGACGACCTGGTCTGTTAGTGAATATGTTATCAGGGAATGGTCACTTGACGTACCCGCTTGGTCGATGCTCCAGTCTAGTATCGCGCCGTTGATACCCCTGGATAGTGTAACGTCCACATTACTGTTCCCTCTTGCACCGTGAAAAGACCATCCAGAGTCCGGTCTATTTTCTATGGTGAGATCAAGGGATGTGATCATACATTCTACTAAACGGCCCTTATCATTCCGCCTTGGGTCGTGCCACCAGGGTGAGAAGGCATTAACATCAGCACCAATTATTGTTCTGTTTGTGAGGGACTGGTTTATCTCGCTTATTTCGCGAACGAACTCCGCCATGTCCTTCCTGAATTGAAAATATGACGATATAATGTCGATCGGTGTTTGACCTGGGTGGGTGACACTTAGAACCACCGTGCGTATTGTGGTTAAGTTTTCTCTGCAAATAATGTCTAAGTGTCTATTAAAGACCACGATGGCTGCCCAAACACCATGCTGCTCATTGGTTTGTGTCTTAACTACCCTAGTGTCGCTGTCCTCTAAATCTGACAGTTTCCCGTAACGTGTATATGGTTCTTGGACTATAGCTATGTCGATGTTGTTCGAGATACACAAGGAGCGCAGCTCCGTTGACACCTCCATGGATCTCGCCATGTTTAACTGGACTATCTTTAATGTACGATTATTCATAGCTCGTTTTTCGCTGAAGGGCCCTTATCTTAGCCGTCCATACGGCACGGTCCTTTGACAGCGTTGCATGTGCTCCATTGCAGTGGCCGCAACATGGTTTTTCATTCCTTTCTGGGCAATCTTTCTTACTATGACCCGGGTTGGCACAGTGGAAGCAGCTGGCGGATTCCGCCTTGCAGTCTTTGGTCTTATGATCCATCTGTAGGCATCTTCAGCAATGAGATGCCATTATATAAGGCCTAGGGAACGTCGAGACCATTCCAATGAATATTCTTTTGCCATTTAGGCACCTGTAGGCCTTTGGGGAGACCTCAATAACCCAGTCGTTGTTGAAGTCGTTCCTTTTGCCACACTTGAAGAGTGGCCGCAAGTCTTCCTTATTACAGTCAACCATTGCATTCTGGTTCTGTTTAATTATTGTTTCTGCTATGAAATCGTCCGTATATTCACTGGGAATACCCTTCAGCTTTACCCTGGGCTTCCTTGGTCCTTGTTCCCTGATTGTCAGGTCGCCACCGATGAACCTGATGGCATCCGCCGTTGTTTTGTCTGAGCACGTGAGGACAAAGTAGCCATCTATTGTTTTCTTACAGCCATCCAATTTTGGATGCTGGGTTTTTGCACTTACGATTTTCCAAATGTCTTCTAATTCAATGCTACTATCCTTCCCATCAATGATGAAGGAAGGCTTGACCGGTCTGTTCTTTGCAGACTTCAACTTGGACGAGTTTTCCCTGACCCGGTCACGGCGCTTTCTTTTCCTCTTTGCTGGCTGCCCTTCCAAGACTGGGAATTCGCCCAACCTGTCTTTTACAGGGCGTCTTTGTTCCTGTGAAGGGGTATTTCGACGACGGACATGTAGTCGTCTTCTTCAAGTTCCGCTTGTTGCCCATCCCCCATCCCCCCTAGGCGGGCCTTCATCGACCCCGACTAACACAGGGACATGAGTATCCAGGGTTTAATGCCTTTCAGCTACAACTATGGACCGTGTATTAGCGCTGTGCACTAGTTACGAGCCATAGAGGTTCACCCGTGCGAGGGTGGCAAGCGCCCCCGCCCAAGCGTGTCGTCTATGGACCACCAGCACCGGGGCCGTAGCCCCGTACCAGACGGCTCAGGTCTGGAGCCAACATGTACCACCTCTGGTCAGGTCGTGACCTATCCCATCACTTCCCATTTTTGGTTACAGGTAACCTCCCCTAATTGTATCCAACGGTAGACCGGCTGAGTACCCAGGAGAAACTGCTACGCCAAAGGAACTCGCACCCCCTTGACGGTACAGCCATTCACTGAAGACCTTCACCTGCCAGCTTTGGCTAGAACCATACAGTAGCTCCCGCTACAACCACCACGAAACCAAACCGGCACTGGGCGCCCGACGGCGAACCGGCACGCGCCCAGAGTAGGAGGGCACTGGCCCGGGCATAACTCGGGAGAGTGGGGCTCCCCCCTTCCCGTGGTACCGATCTCTCCCCCGTTAGGAAGGACATCATCGGTTGGATGTTCGACTGGGCAAGCCCAGTCTCCCAGGATTTGCTGGCTCAGCAGGCTCTTGGTGGGCCTTTACCCCGGGCGCTCGCCCGTGGTGCGTAGGTCGCAACCCCACCCCTTTAGTCGCCTCTTACGAACAGCGGGGTATACTGTGGCTGTATTCTTCCATGGCCCCAGACACAGGGCCCGATGTAGGTGTGACCTACTCGCCGAAGCTTTCGGTCACCACGGCGCCTCCGGTTGTCCGACTCTGTTGTTCGCGTTAGCGCCACCCGCGTTCCCGACGCACGAGTGTCCCCACAGGACGGCCCCGCATGTGAACCGCTTCTGCCTACTCACGCCTTGACACTCGCTCAGAACACATGCGGGGTGTGGCACTCTGGCGCGCAGAGTGTCTTGTCCGTCCTGTTTATTCTGCCTGCTGTGGCCTCTCTAAATATGCTGCCACTTTTGCGAACTTTACTAGCGCCACATATGTATCACGGCGCGTGACCAGCTCACACATTGGCGTTGGCCATAGGTAGCCCGCTCTGTTGGCCGCCAGCTCTAAGTATGCTCTATGTTCGGCATGTATCGCACAGTTAAATATCACGTGCCTCACATCCTCATTTCCCGTACCGCACGGACACTGAGGGGTAGGTCGTAGTCCTAACTCAAAAAGTTTCGATTGAAAATTCCCATGTCCAGTTAAAAACTGGGCTATCTCATGTCCCAGGGATATGGGCAACATGGCCCCTAATGTCCGGGAAACATTCATGTGTCCATCTCCCCTTTTGTGTGGACGTCCATGCATCCATCATTTTTGTAGTGGCTGACTTCATGGTTTCTATTCTGTTAATTTCCGGTAATAGTTTAGCCTCATCTTTTGCGGCTAGCCATATCAGTTCCAGGTCCAGAGGCGGTATGCCTGCGAGCACCTGCAACGCCGCCGTTGACGTGCTTCTGTACGCTCCTGTTATGCCTACCAATGCTCTTATTTGCAACGTGGCCATCTTCCTCTCCACAACACTGGCTGACAGCGCGTGGCTCCAGAACCGGACCCCATAGGCGATTTTGGGTAGGAAAACACCTCTGTACGACGTTATCCTGTCTTCCCCGAATGAAACTGTGAATCCGGGTACGAGATCCCCCTTGGTCATCATTGCTTGTGATTTCGTTGCGGAAAACGAAAGACCCCTGTCCGCTGCCCATTCCAGCACTGGTATCAGGGCCTCTTCCGTACGTTGTATTATTGCCGCTCTTGTTTGGCCAGCGATACTAATGGCAATGTCGTCCGCATACGCCTGTATGGCCACATGCTCTGGGAAGTCGAGCCTTAAAAGTGCCTCCATGGTCACATTCCACAGTATTGGACCTAGGATCGATCCCTGTGGACATCCTTTCGTGACCGCGACTGTTTTCACGACCCCTCCAATGGTCATGGAGGCCGTTCGACCCGACAGATAATTCTCAATCCATTTCCTTAAATGGCGCGTAACACCTAAGTCATGTAGATCCGTTTGCAAGGCTGGCCAGGCCAAATTATCAAAGGCCCCTGTTATGTCTAGGAATACACTTATTACATATTTCTCCGGTCTAATGGCACTCCACGTTAACAAATTGTCCACCTCATCCAATGTTGATTTACCTTTAGTGAAACCGTACTGTTTTCCTGTGAGATTTCAGCCTATCTGGTCCTGAAGCCGTTTGTTCATGGCCTTTTCTACTATCTTACACACCACTGGCAGTAGACTCACCGGCCTGTAAGACTTTGGTTGAGCCACATCTCTGTCCTCGCCCTTCAGAATCGGTACGACATCCGCCGACTTCCAAATTGCTGGAAAAACTGCATCGCGAAGGCAGGCGTTTACTAAGGCTAATACCCTAGCCGAGAGTCGTGGCCACAGTACCCGTACCATTCTGCCCGTGATCCCATCCTTGCCGGGGGCCCTGTTCGGTGCCATGGTCCATGTTAAGTCTCTAATCGTGGTTTCATCTAAAGGCTGTAGGTCACCCTCTGTTCTAGCTAGCACATCCTGCAGCTGTTGGTGCGGATCATTCGGGATAAGCGTATTGAGTAAAAGATCCAGGTGCTTAACCAGCGACCTGCACCGGGTACCATCCGCTTTTGTCAGCAGGCCAATACTAGTTTGTTTCTTGCTGCCGTTCTTCAACCACCTGTACAACCTTCCCCATGGTTGCACACCCCCTGTGGTGCAAAAAGCTCTCCACGATTCCAGCTTGCTTCTCCTCAGTAAGGTTGTATATTCATTTCGTCTGGCATTATATGACTGGCGATATCCATCCGCTGACATGTGTCGGGCCGCCGCCCTTACCGCTCTCCGTGCAGCCTGTAGTTCATTGGTCCACCAAGGAGGGGTGATCGTCGGAACATTGCCTGTTGATCGGAAGTTGGCCGTCGTTGGACGCTGAATGAATTTTGATTGAACTGATGGCCGAAAAGGTTGACTGTTGATTGTAAGAGATGGCGTTAAAATTTTGAATTTGTGAGGTCCGAGAGATGAATAAAAAATGAAAAAATAAAAATGGCGTAAGGCCGAAGTTAATGGCTTAATCATGTTTGCCGGTGTGTGTATGGTACGGTGTGTATGGTTGAAGAACGGCAGCAAGAAACAAACTAGTATTGGCCTGCTGACAAAAGCGGATGGTACCCGGTGCAGGTCGCTGGATGAGTCAATGGATCTTTTACTCAATACGCTTATCCCGAATGATCCGCACCAACAGCTGCAGGATGTGCTAGCTAGAACAGAGGGTGACCTACAGCCTTTAGATGAAACCACGATTAGAGACTTAACATGGACCATGGCACCGAACAGGGCCCCCGGCAAGGATGGGATCACGGGCAGAATGGTACGGGTACTGTGGCCACGACTCTCGGCTAGGGTATTAGCCTTAGTAAACGCCTGCCTTCGCGATGCAGTTTTTCCAGCAATTTGGAAGTCGGCGGATGTCGTACCGATTCTGAAGGGCGAGGACAGAGATGTGGCTCAACCAAAGTCTTACAGGCCGGTGAGTCTACTGCCAGTGGTGTGTAAGATAGTAGAAAAGGCCATGAACAAACGGCTTCAGGACCAGATAGGCTGAAATCTCACAGGAAAACAGTACGGTTTCACTAAAGGTAAATCAACATTGGATGAGGTGGACAATTTGTTAACGTGGAGTGCCATTAGACCGGAGAAATATGTAATAAGTGTATTCCTAGACATAACAGGGGCCTTTGATAATTTGGCCTGGCCAGCCTTGCAAACGGATCTACATGACTTAGGTGTTACGCGCCATTTAAGGAAATGGATTGAGAATTATCTGTCGGGTCGAACGGCCTCCATGACCATTGGAGGGGTCGTGAAAACAGTCGCGGTCACGAAAGGATGTCCACAGGGATCGATCCTAGGTCCAATACTGTGGAATGTGACCATGGAGGCACTTTTAAGGCTCGACTTCCCAGAGCATGTGGCCATACAGGCGTATGCGGACGACATTGCCATTAGTATCGCTGGCCAAACAAGAGCGGCAATAATACAACGTACGGAAGAGGCCCTGATACCAGTGCTGGAATGGGCAGCGGACAGGGGTCTTTCGTTTTCCGCAACGAAATCACAAGCAATGATGACCAAGGGGGATCTCGTACCCGGATTCACAGTTTCATTCGGGGAAGACAGGATAACGTCGTACAGAGGTGTTTTCCTACCCAAAATCGCCTATGGGGTCCGGTTCTGGAGCCACGCGCTGTCAGCCAGTGTTGTGGAGAGGAAGATGGCCACGTTGCAAATAAGAGCATTGGTAGGCATAACAGGAGCGTACAGAAGCACGTCAACGGCGGCGTTGCAGGTGCTCGCAGGCATACCGCCTCTGGACCTGGAACTGATATGGCTAGCCGCAAAAGATGAGGCTAAACTATTACCGGAAATTAACAGAATAGAAACCATGAAGTCAGCCACTACAAAAATGATGGATGCATGGACGTCCACACAAAAGGGGAGATGGACACATGAATGTTTCCCGGACATTAGGGGCCATGTTGCCCATATCCCTGGGACATGAGATAGCCCAGTTTTTAACTGGACATGGGAATTTTCAATCGAAACTTTTTGAGTTAGGACTACGACCTACCCCTCAGTGTCCGTGCGGTACGGGAAATGTACCGCACGGACGTACGCAGTACGCATAATTATTCGACGGTCGAGCGGTCGTTGGTCGCGTGGGTCGACGGAATCGGTGTGCTCGATGCACGAGCGATCGAGGGAGCGTGGCGCTACGTCGAGAGACTAGAAGGTCGTCGCGACATTAGTTCGGTCGGTCGGGCGAGTCGAGGTGCACGATGATCGTCGAGATCGTATCGCTACTCGAGTCGATTGCCGTTGCGAGAGAAACATGGCGTCGGGCGTATGTCGCGAGTCGGACGAAACGTGAGGCTCGGTCGAGGGCTGTGAGCAAAGAGAACGCTGGCCGGTCGGTCGGCCGCGTCGTACCCGTCGCGGGACGAGTCGCCAATGGGAGACGTGAGATCGAGTTGAGCGAGGAACATAAATATAATTACAAAGACAATAAATACTAAAAATCACAGTTGTTGTATAAATACGAATATAATATAAAAGTTCCGCGAAACGGATGGTAACGGCGAATGAGTAAGTTGAGCAAAGTGGTGATAAGCGCCGAAGTCACCACAGTTGTATTGTTATTTTGTACCTCCACAACTGTGAATGATAATTTCTACGAAAAACCAGTACGTAAGTTTTACGCATCGTTAGTAATACATGTAAATAATACTACGTAAAATATACGCATGTTTACCTATATGCACTAAAGAGTATACGTGTATTTTACGCATAGTTACTAATACAGTATTGTTTTAAATTTAATAACTAGTATACAATATTTTAGTATTACAATGGCTGATAGTTCAACGATTCTTCGTATTTTGAGAGAACTATCTGAAGATGATAGTGGTGAAGAAAGTGGTACGGAAGTTGAAGATATTGTAGATGATAGTGATGAGGATCCGGACTATGTTCCTAATACACATAATTTTCAAACCGAAGAAGAGATTAGTCAAGTAATTAGAAAGATAGAAACCCGTCCAATACCTTCATTAAAATCTAGGAAGAGAAAAATTAACTCTACATCTAAAACAGATAGTAATAATGGAGAAAATGATGGAGAAACTGATCAAAATAAACATATAATAACCATTTCAAATACCTCGGAAATTGTGGGTAAAAACGGATTTGTGTGGAAAACTGAGTGCAATCATTTTAGCGGAAAAGTTCCAAAAAAAATATTGTTCATATCCGACCTGGGCCTTCATATTTAGCAAAATCTGCAAATACTCCTAAAGAGTGTTTCAAACTTTTTTTCACAGACGAGTTAGTTAATTTAGTACTTCTTTATACTAACCAAGAAATACAACGCCAAAGGGAAAACTATAAAAATAAAACTAGTTCAAATCTAAGTGATTTAACATTGTTTGAACTTAATGCTCTGTTTGGTATTTTGATTTTAGCTGCAGCATTAAAAAATAATCATTTGACTACGAATTTACTTTTTGACAGTTCGTTTTGTGGCAATAGATATCGTGCAACCATGTCGGAGAAAAGATTTTGTTTTCTAATTAATTGCCTTAGATTCGATGATCGAACAACTCGTTTGCAACGTAAAAATTAAACAAAATTAGCACCGATTTCAGTTGTATGGGATATTTTAATGATCAACTGTAAAAATAATTACAAGCCTAGTAGTTATGTCACAATTGATGAACAGTTGGTCGGCTTTAGAGGACGATGTCCTTTCAGAATGTATATCCCTTCAAAACCTACAAGATACGGAATTAAAATTGTTATGATGTGTGACAATTCAACTAAGTATGTCATTGATTCGATTCCGTACTTGAGTAAAGGAACTGTACCAAACGGACAAGTTGCAGCTGATTTCTATGTTAAAAATTTAATTAAATCTATTAAAGGTTCTAATCGTAACCTTACAATGGACAATTGGTTTTGCAATGTACCACTTATTCTATCACTTTTACATGACGATAAGCTAACGGTTATAGGAACAATTAAAAAAAACAAAAGAGAACTTCCAACTCAGTTCACTGATATTAAATTTCAAAATAGAACTTCCGATACATCGTTTTTTCTATTTCATGAAGATATTACGGTTGTTTCTTACAAACCAAATCAAAGTAAACTTGTGACATTGATTTCATCGGCACATCACGATTCATCGATTGATCCAACTACAAAAAAACCCGAGATAGTATTGAACTATAATTCTAAAAAAGGTGGGGTGGATTCATTTGACCAGATGACTAACAATATGAACTGCAGTCGCAAAACCAAACGTTGGCCTTTATGTTTTTTTTATAATATGTTAAATATAGCTAATGTCAATGCGTATGTTATTTACACTCATAACTTTTACAATAAAAATAAAAACGATGAAAAACCAATGTCTAGATTACAATTTATGTTATCTTTACACAAAGAACTAACTAACGAATGGCAACGACATAGATTGAGTCTTCCAAAAATTAGCAGAGAACTTAGAACTAACATCCAAGACGCGTTAGAAGAAAAGCAAGTACCAATCAACGACAAACCCCAACATGGTCCTCGAAAGTATTGCGATTATTGTTCTTATAAAAAAAGAAGACTCACAACCACATACTGCATTGAATGCCAGAGACCAATTTGTGGAGAGCATCAAAAAAAAAAATGTCTAGAATGTTAATAAATAAATTTTTTTATAGTTAGTTACGTTAACAGGAAGTTTTATTTTTATTATTTAGTCATTATGAATTTTATATATGTACTATTATGTTACAAGTTGTACAAATAAGTACAAAACAAAGTTTTGAATTTTATTTTATTTGTTTTATTTTGTTTGAAAAATATGATTATATTTGTTGATTTAATGTTGATTGAATAAAAAAATTATGTACAAGATTTAACAAGTGTTTAATTTTAAAAATATGATAATTATATAACTGAAAACAAATATGCGTAAATTTTACGTATCATTACCTATCGTAACATGTAAATTATCGTTCCATACAAGGGTTAATAATAGTTTTCTTTTAACACATTAAGGGCCGTTCTTACCATCTCACTGTTAAAATAAACCCTTAGGTTAATGTACAATAAACCTATAGGTTTAGAATATATGTTTCTTACCAAACAATTTTTAAAAGTAACCTATGGGTTTTTTGTCTAATCCTCCAGGTTATTTTAACAGCTAGTTGTTCCTGCCGTTTAATTGCAAACTACATGGTTAATTATTATTATCTCTATTGTAATAAGTTTTTTATAGGTAATCACTTTTTTTTCACATTTTGTGTTGTGTTGTGTATATTCGTTTACCTACAAACTTTCTTTTAATTAATATGGAAATTCAAAATATTGTTGACCTTATTACTTCAACTGATAGTTCTGACAATGAGTAGTTTGAACCCCAAGTTAGACGCCCACGTGTATTTAAAGAAAGACGCAATTATTTACTTACTATGAACAACGAGGAGTTTAAAAAACGATTTCGATTATCCAAAAATGCAGTGGTTCACATTATAGACCAAATCCGAGACAAAATTGCACATCGAACAGATCGGTAAATATTCATTATGATTTTAATAGAAAAAATTGTGTCGATGCTTTCAACTTGTACATTGCAATTGGTATTTCAGGAATAATGCGGTATCACCTGAAAATCAAGTACTCTTGACACTAAGATTTTATGCATTGGGGACAATTTATCAAGCAGTAGGAGATTTTGTGGGTGTTAGCACGGCAACTGCTGGAAGAATTATACCCAGAGTTACTCATGAGATAGCTAAGATGAGGAAAGATATTATACGCATGCCTTCTACCCAAGAAGAAATTAATCAAGCTAAACTTAATTTTTTTTCAATCGCTAGATTTCCCAGAGGTATTGGTGTAATTGACTGCACACATGTAAAAATTTTATCTCCAGGGGGAGATAATGCAGAAATTTTTCGAAACCGAAAAGGATACTTTTCTATCAACGTACAAATTGTAGCTGGAGCTGATCTAAAAATTAAAAATATAGTTGCTCGATGGCCGGGCTCAGCACACGACAGTAACATATTTTCGAACTCCCGAATCAGAGCCCAATTTGAAGACAATATGTTTGGAGACGCATTATTGCTTGGAGATAGTGGGTATGGAGTAAGCAATTATATGATGACAATTTTAAATGAACCTAGAACTGAAGGAGAACAATTGTACAATGAATCACTGATTAGGACAAGAAATACAGTTGAAAGACTTTTTGGTGTGTTAAAAAGACGATTTCCTATTATTTCACTTGGGATAAAATCATCTCTAGAATTAACACAAGGAATTATTGTGGCTTGTGCTGTATTACATAATATAGCACGTGATTTCAATGAAGAAGAATTAGAATTTGAAGAAGGTATTCAGCAATTAATGCAAGCTTCAGAAGAAGTAAATGATAATTTTAATCTAGAAAACCCAAATAATAATTTTAATCAAAATAACAATCCAGTAAGAATTGCAATCATTGATTATTTTGAAAGGTAAGTACTGAGGAAATGCTTTTAAGTTACACCCGTTTTCATTTTACAGTAAATTGATTTATTATCCAATTTTAAGTTAAAGATGCTCATAAACTATCAAAAAAACTGACATGAAAAGACAGATAATATTCTTAACTTTAAATTTGATAGTTGGTCAAGGTCAATTTTTGAATTTACTGTAAAATGAAAACTAATGGCACAATACTGAACGCAAATTTGCCATATTATACGTTTATAAGACGGAGACAACACATGCGGATGTGGCGTCCTCAATACCAATTTAGATATTAATTTTGTTATGTGTTTGGTGTTTCAGATTGTGAAGTACAACGTTTTCAACAATATATTGTTAAAGATAAGAAAAATGGCCTTAAATAAATATAAATATACATTTATTTATATCACAAAAGTTATTTTTATAATTATACATAACATTTTTCATTATTTTATTTTAATATTAATAATAATAGTGAATATTTCATAACGTAAATTAATAATAAGCAATTAAAACAAAAATATATAAATATAGCTACATAAATTTGTACTTAATGTTGTATCACATTACGAATTTAATGAATTAAAAACTAGTAATTGTCATTAGAAATTATGGTTTAGTTATTGTTATCATAAATTTTTTTAGAAACTAAATAATACAATTTATATAATATTAATAATGAATTTATGAAGTAAATTAATTTTATCATAGGATTATAATGCAAAATAGTATTTAAAACAAGGTTTAAACAATAACATATAAGTATACATAACTATTTAAAATTAAAAACGAATTAATTAAATTATTAGAAATTAATAGATTTTTAGAAAATACATAACATAATTAATATTAATAGTGAAATAAGTAAATTAATCAAGAACAATAATAACAATATACTATCATTATACTGTACTATATCATCAGACTTGATTTCAGATTTTAACTTGAGTATTTCTAATTTCTTTTTTTCTATTTCTAGCTCAAACAATTTTTCATCATTTTCCTTTTTTTTAAAAAAATATGCAAGCTCTTCTTTAGCTAGTTGAGTTTTAATCTTGATCAAATCAATTGTATTCTGTCTTACTTCATCTTTTAAATTTTCATACTTTTTTTTTTTTTTGAGGTTGAGAACTATCATTGACACATCTTACCTGTTTTAATTTTGAACTAACTGGTGTTTTTAGTTGAGCTGGAGACCAAGATTTCCAATCTTCAGTTTACAATAATTGTCTCCTAATAAAAACAAAAACATAATAGGAATTTGGAATATTAGGAATTTAGGATTTTAGGAATTTAGGATAGGTAAGCATTAAGAATTTATCTTTTAGCAAATTGGACCAAGATGGTACTTTAGAGAGGTCATTTTTCGATTTTCTCAATAGTTATTTAATGCCACGGGAAAAAGTACTGAAAAATTACTTAAAACCGCTTAAAATGGGATTTTAATTTCTAACAATTTGTTTATCACCGTAGCAACAAATAAAAAAAATAATAATTAAATAAATAAAATAATTAATGACAATATAAAATATAATATACAGACTGACAAACCGTCTCCGTTCAGAATATACAATGATATTATATCATTGAATTCAAGTTTAATACAATCCATTAAACAATGACCAACTTGTAACCTACTGTACAGCTGAGCGACATCCACTTACCTGCCTTTTTATATTGTATAAATAATAAGACAGACTAGTTGAACAACCTGGCTTTGCTTGCTTGTGTGTTAATAATCGATTCGTATATAAAATGGTTTTTTTTATTATAAAATGATACTTATTGTAATTGTTGGTAAATGTTACTGGTATTGGTGTATTAGATATCTACTACCTATTGTTGAAGATGGATGATTTATATTAAATCTAGAAAAATTATAAATACCATATTATTAATTTCATTATCTGTAAATGTAGTAGTATTCTGTATTTCATTTTCTTCAAAATTTTCTTCAACAATTCCAATATCTAGTTAATGTATATTCAATAATTAATACTCAATAAAATTTAAATATCATCAATCATTGATAATAATAGTATTGTGTGAATTATATTATGTTATTATAAATATCAAGATAGACATTAATACATTATATTTAATACCTACAACGATATTTATTATAATAAGTTAAAATTAAAACTAAAATTGCTTATTAAGTTTAAGGAAACCTGTTAATGGCTGTTATTATATTAATATATTTATTTAGTTCAGAATCAGGTTAGGATTTTCAATAATATTATTAATTAATCATTAATGGTTTAACTAATTTTAAAAAAATAAAACTGCAGAAAATATTATTTTTAAGACTATGATGACATGTTATATATTATGGTAATGAGTAGACCATGATAATTTTTACTCACTATCAATGTCATCATCATCATATGGGTTATTTAATCCCTCTCCAGAGATACCAAGAAGAGAAATAATCTTGTCTATTGCCTCAGAACGGGGAATTTTTTTACATATACCACCACCAGTACTAAAAATTATCAATATAATATTTTATTTTTATTTAATTAAATTACAATAAATTTGAAGAATATTGTCAAAATTAAAGTTAAAAAAATATTTTACAGTTTTTAAACCTCGGTTATCAAAGAAAAACACGAAATGAATAAATAAATAAATGATAACAACGAAAAAAAGTGATAACAAACATAGTTACTAACATCAATACTAAAATTTCGGTGTTAACCTAGAGGTTGCCCAAACCTGAAGGTTTAAAAAGTTTGTGAGAAAGATATTAGTTTAAGTTATAGGTTTATACTCCAGTTGACCCAACCTATAGGTTAGGGTAACCGTTAAGTTAAAAAAATTAACTCTCACTTGGTAAGAACGGCCCTAATTATAATAATTATTGTATTGTAATTCATTTTTTAATTTTTTTTTTTAATAAAATAATGATTTTAAATTATTTCTTATAGGAATAATTGATAAAAATGGATTTAAAAATTCAAATAAAGTTTGGCATCATTCGAAATGTAACTTACTGACGGACCCTAATAGAAAGAGATGTGTTCTATGTGAAAAATTGGTTAATATATTTAGATTAAAAAAACACAGATATGATATATCTAAAACTAAACTTAATCCATATATATCAAAAGTACATATGCGGATACTTATGTAGAACAGTAAAAAAATATACAAAATGTGATAAATGTTTATTGGCTTTAA